GGTTTTATTTTTCTTATGTTAAAACCGGTTTTAATCGGATTTAACAAAAGAAAAATAAAACCGGTTCCAAACTCTAGGCTGTTTTTCTTCGAACTAACGTTTGTTTTGAAAGTTTTCAATCGTGTTACGTTACACTAAATTATGGTTCGCTATTGGCTAACGGATACGAGAATTATTATTCTCCGTTACATTTTAGACAATTGACAAAATTAGGGTGTTTCAGAATTGACTTATTTCGAAAATAAGTGGGTGCTTAAAGATTCTTATTTGTGTTCTAATTTTAAAGTCGATATGAAATAGAAGTTCTACTTTATAAATCTATAAGTTTTTCGGTTTTGGTATACTATTTATTTAAAATCAGAAACCCAATCATTAATCTTGAAATCCCATCGTATTAATGAAAGCTCTAACTGATATTTTTTAAAAATTAACAATAAAGTAGTTATTTCTTTAAAATGTAGATCTCTACCAGTCCCAGATGTATAGCATTATATGGTTTCTGTTACATCTATTTTTAAGGTACAAGTTTTTCCTACGAATTGCGCTAAATGTTAATTGTAAGAGAGATTTTTTTCCGTGTGATACTATCCCGCTTTAGATGTTCCCTAATCGGGCTGCACACAGGTGTAAAACAAGAATTTCCCGCTTTATACGTTCCCAAACTCGGTACTTTCCTATAACGATAACGACAGAATCTAACGCTATCAAATCAGAAAAGTAAATCTACGAAAATGGAATAAATGAAAAAAGGGTAATTAACAAAATAAAAAGGTTTAAATTACAAGAGATGGTGGTGTAATGATTTTTAAAATATAATTTCGAAAAATGGATAAAAGTTTTCCGATAAGACTTTCGAATTTCAAAAATAGTCTTAAAACAACTGTTTCGATGTAACCAATTTTAAATTTCGTCTATAAATTTACTGTCTGCATTCTAATAAAAACGTTATTTACGAAATTTAAAGTTTGGGCTAAATTGTCTGTGCTCGAAAAGGAAATGGACTAAACGGTATTCTTTTGCCCTATTTAGCGATTCATATACTTGTGTGCTCTTGAGATTTTTTTTTTTTTTTTAAAAAAAAAACCACTTCAAACCTATATAATAATGAACCCAATTCCGGATTTTTCAATAAAATTTTTTTTTATTTTAAAATGATAGCATTACCAAATGAATGTCTCTTCACAATACATATTAACCTTAAGGACAATTATAAAGACTTGTTTTCATGTCTTTTTGTAAATCGTCAATGGTGTAGAAGTGCTGTGTCAATATTATGGTACAAATTATATTCTTTTAAAAATAGAAAGCTCATAAAAACATGCCTTTTGTTATTAAATAATGAAGAGCGAGCTCTATTATTACCATTTAAAATAACTCTTCAAAATAATAAGAGACCATTATTTGATTACTCAACTTTCATTAAAACTATTTATTTTAATACTGACGATGGAATTATAAATTGGCTTGATTTTGAATGGCAGAAACCTCATGATTTACCTTGTTCTCTTTATGTTAATAAGAGAAAATGGCCTATAGATACTGTTCATGCTATTGGGTCTTCTTTACTCTCAATGTTTCTGCGAACTAATCGGAGACTTGAAGATTTACGCATTTGTAATATTAGTTATAACAACATACTAAATTTAACAGTAAACCTTTATAAATGTACCAAATTGAGCTTCTTGGGATTTGAGAATAATCAATTAGGGGTCAATGGTGGAAAAGCACTATCAGAATTCCTTTATAAAAACACTACTTTGACCTGCTTAAATATTAGAAATAATCAACTTGGCCTTGAAGGAGGAAAAGCACTAGTAAAGGCTCTTTGCAATAGTGCTACTCTAACCAATTTAGATATTTGGAATAATCAACTTGGCCCTGAAGGAGGAAAAGTGTTAGCAGATGTGCTTTCTAAGAATACTACCTTGACTTACTTAAATGTTGGATGTAATCAACTTGGTGCGGAAGGAGGAAAAGCACTGGCAAAGGCTCTTTACAAAAATACTACACTGATTCATTTATCTCTATATAATAATCAACTCGGTTTTGAAGGTGGAAAAGCATTTGCAAAGACTCTTTGTAAAAACACTACCCTGACCTGTTTGAATCTAGGTGGTAATCAACTTGATTCATCAGAAGGAAATTTATTAGCAGAGGCTCTTTATAAAAATACTGGTTTAACTTCCTTAGATCTTCGTGATAATAAGCTTCATACTGATGTAGGACATGCATTAGCTGATGCTCTTCACGAAAATACTACTTTAATTAATTTAGTTCTTTATAAAAATTTAATTTGTGATTCAGTTTTAACTGAAATCAATAACTTGCTTGAAAATAAAAACCGCAAAAATATGGCGCAAGAATCTTAAAGATATTCAATTTTCAATCTATCAGTATCGTCGAAATATAAGTAATCTCTTAATAAGTGAGAGAAATTCTAAGGTGTCTAAGGATCTTCAGGATAGCGGAGGGAGGTAAAAATCAAACAAAAAGAAAATGGTTGTCGAAATATATTTATTTAATAAGAATCTATCAAATTTGTTTTCTTAGAAACATTAGGTGGGGTGTAAAATACCGCGTAGGATTATCATTGTGTGTGAGGGTGGGGAAATTGCCCATTAGTCTTTGGACTAACGTTTATAATATTAACACATTCTGGAATTTTGCCTTATTACTTTTATATTTCTTTTGTCACTTTATGATTATTATAGTTATAGTTATACTTTCATTATTTCGTAGAGGGGGGGTTGCGTAGTTGCAGCAACGTTGACCATTTTTTTGCTTTAAAAATGTCAAAATTCGAATAGTTAGATTTTAATGCATATAGCTGCAAAATAACGTTATTTCGAAAATTGCATCCTTTAAACATCATATTTTGGTTCAAAACAACGTCATACGCGTTCCGAAATGATGTGCACTTGTATTAGTGGATTGGACATATGGGGTCTGTGCCTTGAAAATGACGTTATGGGACATAGTAATTACTATGTTCCACAACGTCATTTTCAAGGCACAGACCCCATATGATCGTTTATCTCAAATAACGTCAAGATAAATAAAACAACAGTGATCACAGGAAGGTGATTGTATAATAAGAATTATTGTTCTCTTTATAATAAAAATTTTATATAAAACAAAATAAGATTAGGTAATTGGTCTACATTGCTCTACATTATATTTTATAAATCTAAATAAATATTTAAAGTTGCAAGAATAATTTTTATTCATGCTAATTCCAATTAACCAATAAGTTTAATTGGATACAAGTTCTAAACCTAACTTTTTACAAATTTCATTACATTTATGATTTGCTAAAAAACACCTAGCAATTCCTTCTTGGCCTAAATTTGTATGTCCAAATCTTGAATTATCAGCACAATGTATCGCCGGATCAGTTAATAAGAACTGATCTTTAAGTTCAATTCCTTGAAGATCACAAACGACTAAATATCCTTTAGTATGTTCATATGTAAAATGTGAAAATGCTTCAAGAGTAGGACGAGATAATGTAATTATCCCACTATTTGTATTGAATCGCTTAAACTCTGCACCACAAAGTTCTTCTTCTAGAATATAATAATTAGTTCTGTTATTAATGATTAAACGCACTAATTTTGCACGAAGGAAATTTACTGGTGAAATTTTTTTTGTTTTTGCAATTAAATTAAATTTTTTTGAAAGATAATTCGCTACAGCAGAGATTTCTATAGCTTCAAGATATTTTTTAAAAATATCATCTGAAATAATTTGAATGTATTTTTTCATCACCATTGTTTCTGATGGTCTGTTAATTGCACTAGTGGCAAAATATGCTCGTTTTTCAACACCTGTTGAAAACAGGCGTGGTGCAATTTTAAAAGAAAACTTTCGGGTATAGAGTTTCTCCTTTCCGAAGAATCTTTGATCTTTAAGTTCATCTAGAGATTTAAGAATATGATAATTCAATATTTCTCCGGTTTGCGATGAAAGAGTGCTCCAATCAGGTACTTTAGGGTCAGTAAAAATTTTTTGTCGAGAAGAATACACATCTCCCACTCTACTTCCAATGGTGCTGGCTAGTGAAACAGAAGATATAATGGATGATGTGGTAGCCTTGATAAATTTATTAATTAATTGCGTTGGATCACCTCCTTCAAGATCAAATACAGGAAAATCACCAATTATACTGTGAAATATTCGAATCATTTCATCAGTATATTCCGTAATTTTTCCAAAAAAGTAGAGAATTTTTTCTGATTTCATTTTTTCTAATACACTTTCAGCAGTTAAACCGTTTGGATCTCCATTTGGATAATCATCTAATAAATTAGTAAAACGTCGTCCATGTGGTGGACAATCACCAATATGTAGTAGAACTCTAGTACAATCATTCCAAGATAATCGAGTTATAGCAGAATTAAGACCTCCAAAAACATCCTCTGGGGCATCACCACCACCAATAGCTGTTACTTTAGCCAAATTTTGTTGAAATTTTTCAAAAGAGTTTGTAAAATCAAAGATTTCTATCTTAGGGTTGTCCCTATAGTCGCGATAGCCACAAAAACCGATACGAACTTTAATACATGGATTTGTATTCTTAATGTGCTCTGTAACCTGTAAAATGCATTTTTTGGCAGCAGCGATATAACTTCCCATAGAACCTAGACAAAATTAGGTGATAACCTGGAAGTAAATCAAAAAAAAACGCATAAAAGTAGTAAATCTAACAAATAATTTAGAAGATACGAAACTGGTACAGTCTAAAACGTAACAAAGGTCAACTTCTTTTGAACGATCAATTTTAGCAAGTATATTAAGTATAGCTCTTTCTCTATCTATAACATTTTGCTTTTTCTTTGATTTAGGAACGGTAGATTTGCTTGAAGATGCTACAGATAAAATCTTTTCTGATTGCATATTTATTATTTTTTTTTCAAGCTGAATGAACTTTTTACAATCGGTGAATATTAAACTTTTTTATAGTTGTTTTTTTTAAAAAAAATTATTATTCGGACAAAGCGGAGGATTTTATTTACAGCTAGCGAAATCTGTGTTGGTTCATCTCCTTCATTTATTTCCTTTTTTAGATTGTTAATAAAATAAAATAGCAAACTTTATTTACGGAACTTTCGATTAGAATCCGGATATTATAAATTTGATGTCGTTAGGATTCAAATATACTATAGGACCTGTACAAAGGTTTATTCGTTATGCCATTTATTAAAAAATCCATTGATGACTTTCCATTGCAGTACAATCAATGGGGTTATCAATAAGTTATGTCATTATGTCACAATGCGTCTTCACTTTAGGACCCGAGATTTTATGCGATGCAATTTACTTATCTCATAATGACTAACTGCAATTGTGATTGGTCATAGATCATTAAAGGAGATCTTTTAAAAATTATGATGAGCAAGATTGATTTAAATCAAACTTTCTCTATCTACATCTTCTATTAAAGATGAAGTTTAATTGTCCCCATCTATTTCTCTTATGAATAGATATTCGAGTTTGAGCAGAACTCATATACCAATATAGTTGATGGTATAATGCTAGCTTCGGATCTGTAAATGTAAAATAACAGAACTTTATTATTGCATATGTACGTACATGTGCACACATTAACGTTAAGGTTAGAACAACCATCCAAATTATATTACATGCATAATTGTGAAACTTAATTGCACTCTCATGGGCACAAAATGCCAAGCACTTTGTCTCCATGACAAAAAAAAGTGAACACATTTTTGTGTTGGCACTTCGTATCCATACCATAAAAATTGTTTCGAAGAAAATTTAATTTCCTTAGAACCTGAATTAATCAAATTTGCTCACCTAACGCTAATAAATAATCAATCATATTTAGGCTTCTGCGGAATTTACTATTCGTCATCAAAACTTAACGTTAATGCAACCCCAAATATATCAGGATTTTAGAATAGTTACAAAAATTTGGTTAAAAATTGTGGCTTTTTGTCATAAGGTAGATATCGATAGCGATAGGGATAATTTGACAAGTTGTTGATATTCGTGATCCCATGATCTAAATAGGGTGATTTTTTGTGCCATTCGAACCCTCTTAATGAGAGGATTCGTATGGTGCAAAAATCATCCGAATCCGATAACGGGAACACGATATCAACAATTTGTCAAATTACTCACCCTACCTTATGTGCCTGCAGTTTGTAAAATAAAAGTAGAAAGGCTCTAATTTATTTATGGTAAAAATCGGCGGAGATTTACTATTATTACTTTATATAATGTTGGGAAGGATAACAATATGAAGGGTGTCAATAGAAACCAAGCAAATGGTTTTTAGTGAGTTTTTTTAAAATTTTAAATTAAAATATCTCAACAACTATTAAACCAAACTTGGTAAAAAATTTTTTATTTAATTCTATAACTATATAAAATTTTTTTTATCAAGTTTGGTTTAATAATTGTTGAGATATTTTACTTCTAAGTTTAAAAAAATTTACTTAGAGACGATTTGCTTGGTTTCTATTGACACCTCACATTATGTGAAGAGGAAAATGCCGATAATTCATGATTTATTAACCCGATTTCAATAATTTTACTAATATTAGAATCGGAATTGTTTTATAAAAACTCAGTGAGGAATTTACTTTGCATCAAAAAACTTTTTATTGTCCAGAGAACACTGTTTTTTATGACAGCATGTGATCATCTAGAGCATAGCAGGCTTTAATTTTGATTGGATGATCGGATAAAATGTCACACAATATGTCTACGCGTTTCCCAAGCATAAAAATGGATTGGTAGCCACGAATACGAATTGGTAAGGGTTAATACCCAAAAATTTTAAAGTATATATACCTTGTTTTTAAACTATCGAAAGTAATTCGGTAATCCGCGAAGTAATTCGGAAGTTAGATGGGAGGCATATTTGAACGTTTGAGTTTAGGCTATAGATATAAAAAGTCATTAAAGTTAGCAATTTAAGTTGTTCTATTGTCTTTATTTGTGAAAACTTATTTTCATAACATAATTAATAATGAAACCTGACTATTATCTAGCCTAATAACGGGTAATATGAAGTTAGGAATTATGTATAGGGCTTATAGAATTCATGAAACGAAGTCGTGCATTTTAACTGCTATCAACTACGGATATAACGGATATATGGGCTGACCAAAAAATTCCGTTATATAGCATATTCGTTATACGTAATATGGCCTTTTTACTATTAAATCCATCATAGCTATTATAATTTATATATTAAAAATTCGGTACTCCATTTGGTGTAAGGGTGTTCGTTATATCCATAGTTGACAGTATATATAACGATTAAGATCAGTTTGGCATTGGAACAAGTACTGAGTGTTTTTTGGGCTATTTATTTATGAGTTATTAGCATTCTAGGATAGTGTTAAACATTTTTTCGTCATCTTTTTTGATTCGTGTATATTAGAATTATTTCTTTAATAAAATGTTGATTTGTTGGAACTTTGTCTGCGACTAAATTACGGTTTTAGGTTTAAATTTATCGATATTTAATGGTAAAAATTTCTGCCAGTATTAATTTCGTCATATATATAATGATTTTATACGTAGAAGCTTCTTTATTCGTAACGATTTAGTTAAAGTTATTAACCAATAAAATTTTTATGATATCACGGGATGATCTACAAAATTTGACCAATCACAACGAAAGCCCGTTGAGCTAACTACAATAGTTTTGGATTTGGATTGGTAAGGATCCTAAAGGACCACCAATTCCTCACAAGTAGTTTTTAGACTAACATTTGGGGGTGAGTCAATAGGAACGCACCATATTTTTTCTAAGTAAATTTTTTTAAAACTTTAAACAAGGATAACTTAACAACTTAATCAAATTTAATAAAAATTTTTTTAAAAAAAAATCCTAAAAACTTATAAAATTCATTTTAAAAAAAAAATTTATTAAATTTGATTAAGTTTTGCTAAGTTATTTTTGTTTAAAGATTCAAAAAATTTCATTAAAAATGATATGGTGCGTTTCTACTAACTCACTCCCATTTGTGGGTATTATAAATTTCTACTCGACGACCTGAAAAAAATATTATGTAATTCTTCTGCTAGAAGGCACTGAACTATCATCTAATATTCCACGGTTTTCTACATGGTATGGCCTTTTCGCTTAAATTCCACATGTTAATTAAGATAAACTTACTAGACAAAGAAAAAAACAATTGAAAAATAATAGGCTTTATTCTAAATACAATCTTATGTACCTCAATTATTAGTGTCTCAAAGTTTCTCAATGCCTCGATCAATTGTGTTCTGTATTGTCATCGAGTCCTTTCTTTTGTTCTATCGACATCAACGAGGCAAGTTTTCTTCACATTCTGCGATCATAAAACTTATCCATTTATGGCAAATATATATATTTTTTAAAAAATAATAATGAAGGAAATCACCAAAACAATACTTTGAATATTGGCAACCCCGAAAAATAAGTAAAGTGAAGAATTTAGATGACAAAAAGGTACATATATTGTCAAAAGTTACATGAGCAGGAAGTTCTCAAGTATGAAATTAATAACTGATAATATACCCTTACGATTCTCATGCAATACGCAAATTTGTCTCTAAAGACAAATTAAAGGATAATATTTTGATATTACCGTAGTTATGACTTACGTCAATATTACAAAAAGTTACAATATGTCTTAAATGATTGCCCGCACTACTATCCGAACTTTGGGGGATTCATGTGTTACACGAAAATGATCTACCAGATTTCATATGAAAAATGATTCTAACCGACAGTCGTTTGCAGAAATTTTTCGTGTCCTCAATATGGAAAAAAAAACTAGTTACAATGTTAATTTCGCACAAGCATTAGTGGTTTGTATCTATTATGGATTATGAAATTTATTTAATACATAAAATTTATTTAATTCATTCTTGTGTTTTGTAAAAAGGCTGGTGGAATAGCGGGAACATCTGTGGACGTGATTTTATATCCATTAGATACAATAAAAACCAGATTGCAATCGAAAACTGGATTTTATTCCTCGGGTGGATTTCGTGGAATTTATTCAGGATTAACGAGCGTCATTATTGGAAGTGCCCCTGGAGGTTTAAACACATATTTGTTATCTTAGTATTTAAACAGATTCGTGGGTTAAATTTTGTCATTTTATTTTTTATTACTATTATCATCTTTTTTTTTCTATTAGCATCGGCATTTTTTGTTACCTATGAATACTTTAAAAAACATTTAGGGATTTTAATTCCTGATACAAAGTATCCCTCATTGATTCATATGGCGGCCGCTTCAAGTGGTGAAATTGTATGTAAAATTTAGAATGCATACTTCTATCAAATATTTATTTAACATTAATTAAATATATCATTAAAGGTTGCATGTTTAATTCGTACACCAACTGAAGTCATTAAATCAAGAATGCAAGTAAAACAATATTCATCACTATCTAAAGCAGTTAAAATTATTCTTCAACAAGAAGGGTTTTTTGGTTTTTATCGAGGGTTCACAAGTTTAGTTTTTAGAGAAGTTAGTGGATATCTATATGTACTTATTATTATAAAAAAAAAAAAAGAATATAATAATGAAAAAAATTTTTTGACTTATTTAGGTACCATTCTCGTGTATTCAATTTCCGTTATATGAATATTTTAAATGTTTAGTTGCAGCTTACACACATCGAAAATATATTGAACCTTGGGAAGCCGCAATCTGTGGATCTTTTGCTGGTGGTATAACCGCCGGTGTCACTACACCTTTAGATGTTATTAAAACACGATTGATGTTGTCAGCTAAAGTAACTATTTCCTGTAATAATTTATTAGTATTAAAATTATTATAACTGGTTTAAATAATTAATTGTGATAAATAGGATCAAAGCATACATAACTATTTTGGAATAACAAACACATTTCATCGGATTTTAACACAAGAAGGTATAAAAGTGTTATTTTCTGGAATAGGCCCACGCATATTATGGATATCTGTTGGTGGATACATATTTTTAGGTGTTTACGAAAAGGTAAAGAAGACCTTACATAATAATAAAATTCTTGCTTGACGTTTTTATGAAATTTAGGTAATAAGCTTTAAAAATATAAATAAATGTATTATGTACGTATTAAATATACTAATTCTCAATATGGCAAGGAGATTTTTGCCTCTTGGAAACTTATATAAGATTAATTTTTACTTGAAAGTAATCGTGTTTTTTTATTAATCAAAAACACTACTTAATAAGTGACCTATTATTTATTTGCTATAAGTACTTATCTTTCCAAGATAATTTTTAACAAACAATATCTTAGATAGCATTGTCAAATTTTGCTTCTAGTAGATTTTAAAGCCTTATGGTAGACTTTTCTAATGCAGTAGTGAAAGTTTCAGTGGTACTTTAATTTTGGTTTCTAGTAACTTTCAATGGCTTTCTAATGACCTTCTGTTGACAATACTGTCTAATATTAATTTTGATTCCTTACTTAAAAATATTTTTAATTAATTATGAGAATTAGTCATAAAGTTGGGTGTCAAAACTCTAGACTGAGTTAGGTTAACGTTTAAGTTATATTTAGATGTTTTATTTCTATTTCTAATATAAACTAGGGGTTTAGGGCTTTAACACCAACTTTATTTAGAGCTTACCGTAAATTTACGAATAATGCGCAGTGGTGAAATTACAAACTTCAGCCTAAATTAAACTTAATCCTCGAACTAACGCCCATGTTCGTTATTTCGCGGATTTATGATAATAATAATGTATTATAAAAAATTCTTAATATTTTAATTTGCTATTCTAACAATAAAATATTAATATTTGGTGCATCTTAAAAAACTAGTATTGCACAGTGTATGACAATTAAAGACTATACAAACTTTAAAAGTTAATAGTTTTTGGTTAAAGCAAATAACTTTTGATATAGAAATAATATGAAATCCATATTTGTTTATATATTTTTTGGTTTAAATGGAGAAGAAATTTATTGCTGTTTTCTAAATACAGTCAGACCTTGATATAATCATCAGGTCAGGAAACAAAAAATTGGTGATTATAAAAAGTTGTGACTATATGAAGGTCAAAATTTATATATTTTATATAAGCTAGAAACAAAAAACAGAGCAACTATATCAAGGTTGTGACTATAACAAGGTCTAACTGTAGTTGAAATTATTCAAAAAAATATTTTTTGAATACACTGTATATACTTGTACACTAAATGTCAATTGACTATTTTAAGATACTAGGATTAGTCATTTGAAAATTACAAAATTTAAAATAATTAATATTATAATTATGTATATTTATGCACTTTTTGCATAATTATATGTAATTATATAAGAGGTGCATAAAATATACATAATTATACAAATAATATATAAAATATGTATAAATATGCAAGTAATATATAAAATATATATAAACATGCAAGAAGTATATAAAATATAAATAAATATGCAAAAAGTGCATAAAATATACATAAATATGCATAATTATAATATTAATTATTTTAATTTTTATAATTGTTAGGGGTGTAGTGATTTAGTAAAATGGTTAAATTGTCAATCTCCAAGTGATAGATTGGAAGTTCAAAACTCACTGACAGTGAAAATTTGGAAAATTATCTATGTTATATTGATATTATGGAAGATAAGCAGTATTACGACAACAGCATTCTGTCAATCAGTTGAAATCAGTATCTGTAACATGGTCACACCAGATAACTGACAGGTTATGAGGCATCTGCACAATGTTGGAGTTATATAGAGGAATGCAAATTAGCATTAGGTGATGCAAACCCAAGATAAGTCCTTGTAGTCATATAAATCTGTAAACTAGAAAACAGGAGCTCACTTGAAAAGACTCAAGTAGAGAGATAATACAGATCTTTGACAGTACTACTGTAAAAACTAAATCTAAAAAATAGATACCAATGTGGAAGAAATCAGATAGGAAAGAACCTTGGGTAAGGGGTACCATCAACCAGGTCACTGAAAATCTCAAACTGGAGAGAAAAGACCTTGGAGAGCAGACCCTAGGGTACTAGGAACAGGTTATAGTCCTATTGGGCTATCTGGATTAAGAGTCTGAGTTCAGAAACAGGAGTATATTATAAGTACTAGAAATATGTTGTGAAGTTAGTATTGGGGTTTAAGTAAACTCTGCAAAGGTGAGCCCTGTTAACAAGATACTAAATGTGGGTAGTTAGTTAGCAAAGGGGCCTCTTGAAGCTTTACAGTCAGGTGATGTACTCTGAAATATGTAACAGCTTGATGAATATACAGACAGAAAGATCATGATTAGGTTAGAAAGCACCTAAGTGTACAGAAACTTGTACACAATTTGTCAGTGTAAGTATAGGGATCAGAGTGTTTAAATAGGTAATCTTCTAGTAGATTGCAGGTATGACAACTAGTGTAGAACCTGCTATGCAGGCAGACTACTTAAAATAGACAACCAAAAGTTATATATGTAGCTAGTTGTATACTCACCTTGTACAAGTTATATAATTATAATTAAAATACAATAAAGACAATAGTTACTAATAACTATGGCCTTAGCATAAGTAAAAAAAAAAATCTTTATAATTGTCAAATGACTGATCCTGGTATCTTAAAATAGCTATTAACATTCAATATACAAATATATATAGTATATTCAAAAAATATTTTTTAAAATAATTTTAACTATTTAGAAAACAACTATAATAGTAAGAGAAATAGTTGTATAATAAGAAATAGAAATATTATGAATAGTAGAAATAAGATCAATAGGAACTAAACCAGATAAGATAGAAATGAAAGATAACATATATGAAGAGTTATGTAATTTAAAGCTATTAAGTATAAGAATTTCTTAATGTAAATTAGAAACAAGATTGATAAACATGTCAAAAACAATAGCATTTAAGGTACAATTAAGAGAATTCGAGATTAAGTAATAAATTGTTTGAATAGAAAGACAAAGAATTTAGTATAATGAAGAGCTAGTTTGATTATATTAATAACAAAGAGAAGAGTAAAAGAAGTTATATTTGTAAAGAGTATAAGAAACAGATAATTTATTTAAGAAAATTTTAATATAGAAGGTTTTTAAAATAAAGAAATAGAAACTATGAGCAATATTAAAAACCTTTTGATTATTATAGATATAAAGCCAAATAGCTTCTTAGTTAATATTAGATGCAATAATAAACTATTGTTTAAAATATGTTGAGTGTTAAAATATAAGCTTGACAGATAATACAAATAGAGCATCAAATAGAAATCTTAATAGGAAATTGGTTGATAAATAGAGTATAGACAAGGTTATAAGAATTGTTAGTTAAGAATATTAAAAAGAGTAGTATTTGGTAACTACAAGCAAGTTAGTTAGCAGTTATTAAATGGGTTATCTTGGTGTGCAGTAACTTTGTAAAAAGTAAGCTAAATGTTGTATAAGTTAATGAAGTTAATAAGAGTTTGCCAAATAGAGAAATATGAAGTATAAGTATAAAAGAGTTTGGATACTGATAAGCAGATACTGTAATATTTAGGGATTACAGATTGTGAATTAGTAAAGATCTAAATAGAACAGTTTCTAAGAATAGTTATGATTACTAAGAGAATAGCAATAATTTTAGCTTTAAAGAAGCATAGTCAGAGTTTAACTTGTATTTGAAATAAATCAATAGTTGCAGAATTATCAACTTAAATCTACTTATGCCTATAAAGCATTAAGAAATACCAAGCTTAATAACAGACCATTAGTATAAAATAAAATAGTAGTTAGATTGTAATTAGAATTAGTAATAGACTATAAACTATTAGTAAGTTGGTTAGACTGAAAGATGCAAAGTAATTGTTATAAATTGATTATTAATAAAGAAGAAATGAAATATATAAAGGATATCAAATAGTTACAAAGTATGCAATATCAAGGAAGTTGGTATATAGATTAAGAGTTTTGTTAGAGTTAATATAGCAAAGTAATTTTGTAGTCAAGTTTGTAAAAATAAAGATAGTATATTTGTTAACAATTATATTGGAATTAAGATAATATTTAAAACATATAATAATAGTAAAAAGAGAAGTAAGATATAGATTTAAAAACTGAAACTAGTAAGAGCAGTACTAGTAAGTAATAAGAATAAGATCTATAGAGATATTATACCTTCTGATCTTGTTAATAATTATTTGATCATTGACAGTAAGTAACTAAGATTTGATATTAAAGTTAAAGTAACTAATAGTATAAGAAAAATAGTTTATTTAAGATAAATTGAAGTGATTATATAGAGTATATTGATAGAAATAATTTGTAATAATGTTTTTAAAAGTAGTAAACCATTAAGATATAACATCTTTAGAAAGTTTGTTTAATCTAAAAAAAATGTATTGTCAATATAATAAGCATAAATTATCATATATAGTAAGTTAATTAAGAAAGAGTAATTTGTGATATCTAAGTTGTTTTTTGAAAATAAAATATTTGGGATGAGAGAAAAAAAGAAATTTAAAAAAGATAGCTCTATAATTTAAAATATATAGAATATTATAAGTTAAGTTAATAAAAAATGTTCAGTCAATATGTTTAATAAGCTGAATAATTTTAAAGTTTGTAGTTAAATAATTGAGATTAACAATAATCAAATTAGAATATAAGAAGATATTAATAAGAGACCAGAGATTGTTTTGTAATTGTTGAATTCAAATATAAGTTGATATGCCTAATAGGTTAAGATTACTAAGTTATTTGAGAAGGTTAGAAATATGGTGTTGTAACTAAATATTTCAGATGTGTTTAATGTTGTAGATTTGAAAATATAAAAGAGTACTAAAGGGTATTATATAACAAAGTTTAGCTTTAAGTTTAACAAGGCTAATATGCTAAGTAAATATTTTATTGCAGATAGGCTAACTAATTACAATGTTTTAAAGATAATATTTAAGAGTAAGGATAATAAATATGTTAATGATATAATGGATATATAATTTAGTGATATATTTGGTTTTAGCAATTTAAATAAATTGCTTTAACTTTATTTAATAATCATTATATAGTTACAGTATCACTACTTCTTACAAAATCTATAAATCTTATAACTCTTTAAGAAAAAACCTATTTTAGAATACTAAAGGCTAATAAAAATAATTAACAAATTTTATGTTTACTTCAATATCAAGCTGTTTTTTAACTTTATTTAATAATTATTATATTATTATAACATTATTACTTAATTTTAATTTTTCTTATAAAATCTATAAATCTTATATGTCTTAACTTCATATTAGTTGAAATTATTAATAATAAGTTTTTATAAACAAAAGACAGCTTAATTTGTTAGATTCAATTGATTTATTGTACTCTAAGTTAAACTTAAATATCTAAACATACTTCTTATTTAAACTTCTAAATTACTTTATAAATTGCTGAATTACTTTGACAGTTTATAAAATAGAATATTAAGTATTACTAATTCATATTCATAGCTGCCAATCTATTTTTGTAATACAAAACATTATGATATTGTGTACTATTTTAGTTTATAATCCAATTATGAAGATTGCCTATTATGCTAATTCTTGTGTACTTTTGATCTTATATTTGTTATATATATTATATGATAACATTTATGTTTTAAATTACCAAATAGTTAAAAATCTATTATTTTTTTAAAAAAAAGAACTGCAAATTTTAAAATAAAAGCCATAATATAAAGAAGAACCAAACCAGAAACACTATTTCATATTCATTAAGATACACAATATAAGACTTCTAAGCTTGAAAAAACTTCTAAAGATCAAAGAATAAGAAAATCTTAAAAGCTTAGCATTGTTAAAAATTATTATAAAGCTTTAAACAATTTAAATGTGATTATAATTAACTCTATTAAAGGTTTATTAAACTTGATTGTTTAGTTTAATTAATATAACTTTTAATTTCTAACTGTTAAATCATAAATCTTATATAATTTCTTAATTTATATAAATAATAATGTTCATTTACCAAAATCTGCTTATTTAACTATTCAAGTCCAATTAGTTTAAAAACATCTTAGAACAAATAATAATCTTGTTCAGAGCACAATTAAAACTTTTAAATCAATAGTTGTATGCAAGAAGTATGTAGTTTATGTTAAATATATGCTTTTATAAATGTTAGTTAATTGTAAGCATTATCAAGCTTTACATTGGTTATTAAAATCTTTAACCAATTGCTATTATAATGAAAAAGTAGTTTTGGCTTTATTAGACAATGTATCTAAATTAATTATGAAGCTTCTTACTCAGAATTTACTCATAACTAAAGAAACTTATTTAAAGTATATTTGTTTATTTAATTCTATTTTTGCTTTTACATCAATAAGAGCATTAATTGACCAAGACCTTGCAAATAGAACCAATAAAATATATACTTACTAACTTCAGAAAGCATTTTATTATCAAATTGGTTTATTGCTTTCCAATAAGGATTGTATACTAAAATTTTCACAAATATATATATTTAATAGAAGTTTTAAAGCTGAATTAAAACATTATTACAAAGTATTTTCCTTTTTAGATCATAATATTTTAACTGATATTTAGCATAATCTCTATATGTATAATCTTTTTGTTCAAGTTTTTTGAAGTACTGACTAGTTCATTCATGAAAGTTAGCCTATTATATTAAAGCCCTTAAGTGGTTAAAGTTTTGATATAAGATATTATAACTGATCTACTGCAAATAAAATTGCAGTTTTACTAATTAAAAACAATATTAATAGTGGTTATGATATTTTTCTCCATACTACTCAAAGCCAACTGCAAAGAATATCAAAATGCCATGCTGCATATGATCAATTTTAATATCTACTACTATTTCCATATAGTTAACTCAGTTGGCATTCTAGTATTTTTATTCAACAAGTGTTATCTTTAACTATACAAAAACCTTGCATAATTCTGTAAGTGATTCTGAAAATAATATTAATTTTACAAACAGAAACTTAGACAATGAATTAAGACAGACTTAGCACAGAATATATATTACAATTAAAGACTATGCTACTTATTACTTATATATATATAGTCTTGTTAATAGGATACTACATTATACAGCATATCTTTTTCACCAGTATGTTGTTAACCAATATGCCAAAATTAAACAAAATCATCTTCTTTGCCAAAAGATAAACCAATATACAATTCATGCTAAACTTTACCAAAGTATTGCTAATGTAGTTGCAGATAATTTTCAAGATTTCAATAATATAGAAAGATGAATAATTTTACTCTTATCTGTTATTGTCAGTTTTCAGTATATAAGCCAATGTTATTAGAATTCAATGGTGATCATGAGAGAATTTGGTAAACTGTGTCTATTCATTACTATTATATACAATTCATATTGGCTAAAAATTTTTGCTAAACTTTATAATAACTAGACACTAAATAATTAGTCTGACATTATTGCTTACATTTTTCATCTCAAGTTAAAAGCCATTTTATATAATCTTATTAACAATAAAATATTAGAAAAAATTATAACATTTATGTTAGTTATTAAATTTCAAAAATAGGTCTTTTATATATATATATATTATTAATACTTGCAGAGAAAGATAAACTAGAACCTTTCTATGCTTATAATAATATTATGTTTGCAAAAATATTCAATCTATATTGTTAGCTACAGCTTTATGAAACTGTTATCTAATACATGATGCATGGACTTTGTAGTAGCTTGGCACCAAATGCTCTATGCATACAAAATGAAATTTGTTCAAAAAAATATTTCAAGTGTTTTTTTGATATTACTCAAAATAATAAAAATGGTTACCTATTATATAAATAACAGAATAATGGACATACTATTTAATTGAAAGGTTGCATATTAGATAATAGTTATTTTAGTAATTTATCTCCTTTTTATACAATAATAGATATTAATTAAAAATAAAATAAAATAGATAAGTAGTGCTGTATAATTTATATTTGTGTCAAAAGTATGACTATCATGTTAATGTAAAAATTTGTTCTACTATTGTGTTAGTTAAATACTTATACAAATATGTGTATAAAGAACATAATTAAGCTTTAGTTGTTATTCAAAATAGCAATACTAAAAATGTAACTCATAATAAAATCCAAGCATATCTTGATGCTTGATATGTTTTTGCTACTAAAGCATGCTGGCAAATATTTTCTATAATCTACAATAAAGATTATATAAAGTGAAAAGATTACAAATGCACTTATCAAACCAACAATTTATTTCTTTAATCCAAATTCAAACTTATATGAAGTTATATCTACAGCCATATATACAAAACTCACAAAATGTTTTGAAGTTTGTAGAGTGGATTCAACAACTGCAAATATCTTATATTCAGAATATTCCAAATTTTTTTACTAAATAAAAGAAACTTAAATACATTAAAAAAGAAATAAAAACAAAGTAATTGATAAAATTTATTCTTGCTCTTTAAGTAACTTAGAACATTTTTGTTTATATCTTTTATTATGACACATTTATGATTCAAAATTATTCAAAAGTCTGCATACAGTTAATAATATAATTTATTTCATATTTAAACAAGCAGTGTAGCAATTAGGCCTTTTGGAAAATGATAATAAATGGCATAGTTGTTTATATAAAGCAAGCCTATTTCAGATGCTTTTACAATAGCACTTCTTATTTACAACAATATTAATTTATTGCCAATCATCAAATGTTAAAAGTTTTTGATATACTTACCTGTCTAATTTAATAAAAGATTTTATATATGAAGCATAACAGCATAATAAAAGTGCTATATCAGAAGATCTATTAATTTTTGGTTATATATTAGCTAAAATTAAAGATTATCTAAGACAATATGAAAAATGCTTTAAAGATTTTCCTAACTTATCTATTATTAAGCATAATTTGCTAAACATCAACAGGCAAATACAGCTTTTTGCAGAAGAAACTACTTTTTTACAAAAAGAATTGCAAAAAATTCTCAAAGAAGTTTCTCTATTAAATAATAAACAATATGCAGTATATAATATTGTAATAACAGCTATAAAGCAACCTAATTCTGAACATACTATTTTTTTTATTGATAGCCCTAGTGGTACTGAAAAAACCTTTTTGTATACCATTCTTTTAGCTTATTTTTGCATCAGAAATCACATTGCACTAGCTCTTGCTTCTTCAGAAATTGCATTATTATTGCTTATGAGTAGTTATATTGCATAGTTTTGTTTAAAAATTCTTTTATATTTAAAAAAAACTTTAACATGCCAGCTATTAAAACAATCTGACTATATTTATCTTTTACTAGAATCAAAGCTAATACTTTGAAACAAAGCTCCAATGTCTTATAAATTTGCTTTTAAGACTGTTAATAGGTCATTGTATGATATTACTGATATTGACAAACCTTTTGGAGAAAAATTCATAATGCTTGAAGGTAACTTTCAGCAGGTTTTACTGGTCATTATTTATAGAACACAGCAGTCAAATGATTATATTTTTGTAAATCAGTTTTGTTAATATCACTTATAAATAATATACACCTTTAGCAAATGCACAAACCTGATACTACTAAAAATCATAAATTTGCAATTATCTTTTTTGAATTGAAGAGAGCAAAGAAACAACTTATACTAACATTAGTCATAACTATATTTGCTTATCTAATAATATGATGCTTTATGAAAATTTGCAAGAATTAATTACTTACATCTATAGTAATCTTAAAACTAAATATAATAATCATCAATATATATTAAGACATGCAATTCTCACAACTAAAAATTAAAGTGTTGATGAAATCAATCATAAGATTTTATTTACTTCTCTAGAGAAGCAAAAACATATTATTCAGCTGACTCCATTGTTGATTCTGAAAGTTTTAACAGTAATCTTTATCTTTCTAAATTCCTAAACACACTCTTTTTAAATAGAGTACTTTCTTACAAGTTAGTATTCAAAAAAATGTACCAGTAATATTACTTCACAATTTAAATGCAAAGAAAGGTCTATGCAATGAAATACATCTTATTATCAGAGATTTTCAATGACATTTTTTTTATACAAAAATTATAACTGGCTTCTGTACTGAACATGTTTTTATTTCACATATAATCTTTGAATCATCTGATACAAAACTTTTATTTAAGTTGTGACTATATCAATTTCTAATCAAGTTAGTCTTTATACTACCAATTAACAAAGCACAGAGTCAAATAATTTCAATGCTTGGACTTTATTTTGCAGATTCTGTATTTTTTTATAATTAGTTGTATATAGCTCTTTCATGAGTTCATTTCTATAATGATATTAAGATTGTTGCCAAAAACAACCAAATAGCTAATCAGAAAGAATATTACACTACTAATATAGTTTTTTGTAAAATTTTTAATGATTAGATTGTATATAACAATTGATTAGTTTATTTTAAACAATTAATAAACTTTGCATTTAACTTATTTAGTGTAATCTAAACTATCTAATCATAGTTGTCTGTATTTTCTGTTATTGTATTTATATAATTTATTTTACTATTGCCTAATCAAATTTTATTACATATTCAATTTAATGTCAAAGTAAAAAAAAAAACCTATATAAAAGGTTTTATTAAAGTTATAGGACTTTATAATTAAAAATAAAATCTAATTCTTATCTGTTTAAAAAAATTAACTTAGTAATAAGTTGATTCTATTAGGTTTTGAGAAGTTATTACTATACTAATAATAGACAAAACTAGATCTTATTTTTGGTTATAAAGTCCTATAGCTCTAATGAAACTTTTTTATACAAAGTTTTTTATTTATTATGATTAGTTTTTGTTTTTTTAAAAAAGTACTTTAAACTGTATAAATAATATAAAATTAGACAAGCTTCTGCTTATAAGTTAGCATAATTTTTATACAACTTTGTGTAAATTTTCTGCAATTAAAATTTTATAATATATAAAAAACATAATCATATTATCACATTATTCCATTTGATTGGCTATATTTTATATGCATTGATTTGATCAAAAAAGTATTAGGTTTACTAATTCTCCTTTACAGTTCTTATTTGACAAAAAAAAATCCTGCTTTTGATCAAATAATGAAAATGTTATTAAAACAGTATAAAGGTCTAATAGAACAAATATTATACTAAAATTTTGCAAAAAAATTTTATTTTAGAACACAAAAGGTAGTTTTGTAACTAAACTTTTAAGCTACTAATGATTTTTGAAAACTTTTAAAAATTTTGATATTTTTTTTTGAAAATTTTATATTATACCTGATCTTATAATTTGATTGGTAGACAAATAATGACATAGTTAACATTGTTTAATAAAGATGACATTTACAACTATCCAATTAGAACTATAAAGAAAAATTGAAAATTTTGAAAGTATCTATTATATTTAATAATTCTAGCTAAGTTTTCATAGTTTTAATACTATATATCATATATAACATTTATATAAAATCTAAGTTACTAAAATTTGTATAAAATGTAAGATATAATTTTCAACTTTACTTAGCTACTGCATTAATTTATAAATTAACTCTTATTATGCAAATTGAGTTAAAAATTAATTAAAAAAATTCGGAAATAAGCCTGCTTTATAGTAAAATTATTTATAAATAAAGTTATACATTAATATATCAAAATTTTGTATAATTTGGATAAGTTTTAATAAAATTTGTCTAGTTAATTTGTAATTTTAGTTGTATATATATTCTTAGAATTTCTAAGAATAAACTAAAGTACTCAGATTTTTAGATCAAATTAGTGCTAAAGAGAAAATATAAATTTAAATATTCACTATATTAAACTTAAACTAATACTGTATTTTGAGTTTAAGTTTAGTGTAGTAAAAATTTAAATTTACATAAGTTTTCTCTTTATATTATTTATTGCAATTTGAAAAAAGATGTAACTTTTGCAAATCATTATGTAATGTAAAATTACAGAAAATTAAATAATTTTTTGATTCTAAGAAAATTATACAAATTTCTAAATACAGAAATATGGTGACCTAGTAAAGTGAATAGATTGTCAACTTCTAAGTAGCAGGTCTAGAGTTTAAATCCTAATGACAGCAAAAATTTGCAATTCTTTTTGCGTTATAACTAACTGTTTTCTGTGATTAATTAAGATAAGATAACTGTAATTCATGTTATATTAATATAACTGGAAGGTCTAGACACTCATACAATATTGTATGAGGAAACACAAACTGGTACCAGGTGGTGTGAACCCAAGATAAGTCCTTAGGCTATGTAAATCACAGAAACCAGGTAAAAAGATGGAAGCTTACTTGAAAGACCTAAGTAGAAAGGTAACCCGAATCTTTAATAATACTACTGTAAAGACTAGACTTATGAAATAGAACTAGAACTTATGAAACAGGTCAAATGTGCCAGTCTTTGAAAAGGAACTGGATAAACCAACCAGACTGCCAAAATTTCTGAGTTTCAGATGAAAAAAATACATGTTAGCAAACATGTAAACCAGAGGTATAGTCTTGCCTTACCTTTCTAGGCTATCTAGAATAGCAACTTGGTGGAACTTGAATTGAATACCAAAATAATAAGGATATGTTGTAAAGTCAGTAC